GCTTAAAAAAATTTATATATATATATATATATATATATATATATATATATATATATATATATACTGAGCTGGGTAGTAACCGATTACGTCATCTGGATTGTGAAATTAGATTCCAAAAATTAAGTACTTGCAATTAGATTATATTACAATTATGTATACAATTTATAGTTTATAAAATAGAATATAATTTAGTTAACATTAATTTTATTTCAAGCAACATTTTTTTTTTTTATGGTTTTAGTTGACTATAAGAATCCTGACAGGAAACCTTATTGATAGTTTGGCATAATTTTATTAGTATTTCTTTAAAAAAAATTAAATGGCTTTACTGCTTATTAATATTTTTGGAAAAACTTTGGTCCACTAAATCAAATGCGGTGCAATTTGAAAAAAAGCATAAAACAGGAAATTATATCATAAAGAGGACCCCTGCAGACCCTCATGACTGAATCAAGATCAATAAGTTTCGAAAAAATATTTGAAACCTATTGAAACATGATTTGTTGATGCACTATGGAAACTCCAATAAACTATATTTATTAATACATTTTTAAAAAAAAAGCCCAATTGCTGGGTTTGTCCCTATTTAACCCAGCATTTTTTAGAGTGTAACATAAATACAAGTAGTATATTTAATAACTTTGCATAAGTGTTTTAAACTAGATTTTTATTTCTTTGTGCGGTGAGCAGCCATTGACGTGCTGAAGCACGAGGTCATCTTCAGCGTGGTGCGTCTAGCTGCCACCTGCATCATCTGCCTGGGCTTCCTGCTGCTGCTGCTCCCTGAGGAGTGGGATACGGTCACCCTGCGCTTCCTCACCACCCTGGCCGACAAGAAGACGGAGGAGCGCAGACCCTCATGACTGAATCAAGATCAATAAGTTTCGAAAAAATATTTGAAACCTATTGAAACATGATTTGTTGATGCACTATGGAAACTCCAATAAACTATATTTATTAATACATTTTTAAAAAAAAATAATAATTAAAATGCGTTTTAAAAGTGTACGTTAATTGACAAATATAGTGAAAAAAAATCTATTTACTTGATGGTATTTTTCTAAAAAAAATACTATTAAGGTTTTTCAAAACTGTGTGAAACTACACTCTAAAAAATGCTGGGTTAAATACAACTCAGTGCTGGGTTAAATAGGGACAGTTGGGTTGTTTTGACCCAGCAGTTGGGTTACTACCCAGAAGGTTGGGTTAAACATTTAACCCAACCGCTGGGCCAAAACAGCCCAATTGCTGGGTTTGTCCCTATTTAACCCAGCATTTTTTAGAGTGTAACATAAATACAAGTAGTATATTTAATAACTTTGCATAAGTGTTTTAAACTAGATTTTTATTTCTTTGTGCGGTGAGCAGCCATTGACGTGCTGAAGCACGAGGTCATCTTCAGCGTGGTGCGTCTAGCTGCCACCTGCATCATCTGCCTGGGCTTCCTGCTGCTGCTGCTCCCTGAGGAGTGGGATACGGTCACCCTGCGCTTCCTCACCACCCTGGCCGACAAGAAGACGGAGGAGCACGGCGAGGAGCTCACAGAATCCAGCGTCCACACACGCAGCCGCAGTAGAGCCAACGGAGCCGTATCCATCCCCATGGCATGACCTTAGACCTGTGAACGAATAGCCAGCGATCAATGATCCACCCTGTGGCAGCCTATGTAAAAAAATAAAATAAAAGAGCAGTTTGATTGTATTTGTATTTTGGAAAGACAAAAGAGAATAAGCAAAGTGAAGATGACGAATAGTATTTTCTTTAATTAATAACCATAACAACAACAAATCAGAAGAAATGTCACCGAACATGCCGTCCTGCTCTTTAATAGAGATGACAGCGGAGGCTTGAGTGTTCTGAGAAGAGCGTCCCATTAAAACAGGGATATTTACAGACAGTATTTTTCTTGTTTTACAGAAGGGATCTAGCATTCTCTTCCCTGCCATTTCTATGGGAAGATATACGCATCCATTCCATAGAAATGGACTTTCAGACTTTTGTCTCCCGCTGCACGCCAATCCCGCACCCCTGAACCCCTCTGCTAGCCCCTTCCCATGGAATGTATTCTGTGAATATAGACTCTGTCAGGGCCAGTTTGGCTCACTACATGAATGCATACAGAGATCGGATATATATGTATATGAAATATGAGGATTATTTGCATTGTACGTAGTATGTAATATATGTAGGAGAAATATATTATGCTTTAATGAATAAGCCTTTTTCTTTTCTTTTTATAATAAAAGACAAAAATAAAGATCTGCATTGAAAAGCACTTGTCATTTAATTGTTCAACACATGAAATATAGTGCAACAGTCACATTCCAGAAAAAAAAAAAAAAAAATTATATATAAATATATATCGCTGTACTGTAAGGCAGTTCCATTTGCCATGTGTAATCAATTGGACTTGTTTTTATTTTTTTTTTTTGTCTTTAAGAACCCATC